TAAAGGATATGTGATCATCCTATATATGTATATGTAGGTAGAGTTGACACTCTTCTACAATAACAACGCTTCCACTTGTGCTCAATATAAAGATATATAAGCACTCATTATATTAAGAAAACATCAACGATATAATCTATATTTTATAGAGAACTTTAAGTATAACAGCCAAGTTGGCATAGTGGTGGATAAGTATTGAACGAAAAGTATACAATCTTATACCTAAAATATTAGTCTATTAATGATATACCAATGGAGATAAAGAGTTCAAAATATCATTCGGGGTCAAAAAATTATATTATTCAGGTTGTATTTGTGGCTTGTAATGTTTATAAACTTCAAATCTCTATATTGATTCTTGTTTAGAATATAGGGAGATGGATATTTTCTCTCGATACAATGATTTGTTGATTGTGTTAATATTCGATTTCATGTATGAACTTTGATCGGTTTAATTCAAATTTATTTTTTTTAAAGAATCTGACTAATATATGGCTTTGGACAAAGAGGATTTTTTTTATTTATGGAAAATTTTGACTATATATATCCTCACAATGGTGGCTATAAAAAATTTCCCAGCAAAATTTTAATTTAATGCTCATAAAAAGAGAACATTGTGAAACAATTGGCTCATCAAATTGTGCCAAAGATGGGAACTACAGAATAAACAATCATGTCTAATAATTAGCCATTAAAAGAGGATTAGTATAAAAATCAAAAGTATTAGAAGTCTGGTGTGATGCCAATGTGAAGCTGTTCAGATTTCACCAAATTATATTTTCCTTTGGGATCCCATAATATTTAATCTCAATTGTTAATTAACATATGCAAAAATATGCATCATCAAATCAGTAAGACAGCATTTGATAGACTACTTACAGATAGCAATTATGAGTGCATGCATATATAAATGATACTTGTATTTGAATTTACTGTGGGAAAGAGGACATCATATGAAATGTAAATCCACTCACAGTATGTAGAGAGGCTTAGTTGCATGCACACATGCTAACAAACTATCAAATATTTGTAAATAAATTACTTGCTATAAAAAAATCCACTTACAGATTATCCAATCCAACCCAAGGAAATGTGCATAAAGAATAAAGCTCAAACAAAACAATATTTAAATTGTATATAATGGTTATCCACCCAATATACAGGGCAGTTGCATGTAGATTTAGCATTTTGAGGTACAAAATCTTAAAGACAGTTCCATGTTGCACATGTCGCAGTTTTTGATTAGCAAGAGAGATCCAACCATATGTTTGGACTGACATTGCACTTTATCACCATATCAGAAACTTCAAGTAGATGTTCTTGAAAAGAGAGTCCAAGGGTGCACAGAAATAGCAACACCACACAGAATGACTTCCATGTAAGAATGTTGCTCATGGCAAAGCCAAATGCCTTCAAACGATCCATGTAGCTGACCACAAAACTTTGTTGCATTTCATAAAGTTGCAAATGAACCATGTAAGTATTTTTCTTCCGGTCTGCAGCTACTGGCAGAACAGACTCACCTGCATCTGGATTTTTTTGTACTAAAAGAAGCTCAACAAAAGTTCAGTCTAGATATGGTATAGTATAAATACATGGAGATTATCTATTATCAGGCATGTGAAATTACCAACTGCATAAGCAAATGGGGAGTACGATTCTGCTATTATTACTTAGCAATGCATTGCAGTTGATGCAGCATATATAATTGATATTTGGGCATATTTCACCTCCCCAAAGGAGGTAGTTTTTGCAAGTGTCGTGAAGACATTCTAGATCAAATAAGGCAACCTTAAAAAAGAAACACCTTGTACAAATCATAAGCAACAGAAACATAAGAAACCAAATGTGCCTTTCATGCTCATTTAGATTGAAACCATATATTGCTATAAGAATAGTCGATGTTGCTAAGATGTAAAGAGAATATGAAGATAAGGCATAATATTTCAGCATTATGATATTATATTGTAGGCCACCAAGGTCCACAACTCCAAAAGTCGAATCAGATCAACTCTGCGGACAGACAAGTTTCTGACTTGGTTTCAAAATAGATATCTGAATTTGCATTCTGCATAACTTGGAAACAGAAGTCTTAAGGCAGAATGGAAAACCACAGCTTTTATACTCTTTGGATAGTAAACAAAAGGAGACTGAAGAAACAGCAGGCCCTTCCACAAAGTTATCCAGCAGTGCCCCAAGCCTTGTTAAATTAATAACCTATAGTAAGAAAACTGAAGATAAAATTCACTAAATGCTAAAGGTTTTTAAACCAGAAAAGAAGAAGGTTAATACGCCATTTATCTAGCATTAAGATGGAAAAGACAATAAACCAGCATATGTAGTTATAACAAAGCAGAGGAAGCAATCCAGCTAAAACAGATATCCAAGCATATTATACTGTGACTAGATCATGCTCCACTATTCAGGATTGTATGAATGAATATTCGGCACATTAAAAAGTATAAATATAATAATAGTTACAATTACTAATATGTTTGATCAGACAACACCTGGACAATAATGCCAGCAGCGCACTTTTTAGTTGCTCCACCTGGGAGGTAGTGCATCCAGTTCAAGGTGCCAAGACCCTTTTGGAATTGCATGGTTTTTGATACCAACCACAGTGAAGGTGGGGATTCCATGTGAGAAGCTGAGCATTTCTAATCTTTGAAGCTGCTTCGTCAATTGAAAACCCTCATGCAATTTCCTTACAAAAAAGGTCACGCATCCCTCTACCTCAACCAAGCTACATATGCTGGTTCCGCTCTCCTTAGAGAAATCTGATAGGATCTCAACCACTTGACATAGGAACCCAACAAAATTGAAATCTTTCCAGTTGTTGTTCCAATTTTTATACGCTGCCCATATCTCACCTTTCTTTGGAAAAATCCTGTAGAATGATTGCTTTTTGCTACTATCACACTTAACAATGTGAGAGAACCTGGACATATCCAAGTTGCCCACATTACCAGCTCGAAATATCCCACATGCAAGTGGCAAATTTTCTTCCACCCACTGAATTTCTTCATCGATCATTGGATGAGATTCTATGAATATCACAGATTCACAGATACTCTACATGGTGAAACCACATTAGTTACCTTTACATATGATCGAGGCATAGCATCCAGTCCATCATATACAGCCCAAACCTGTTCTACTTTGAAATTCTTAGCTGACCGCTTGGACTTATGATTTAGGATTCCAGTACTTGACCCGCCTGAGTCTGTTGTACTAACAGAAGGACTAGAAAACGGAGTGAAATTGGCATTATCATAGCAGTTCACAACCTTGGGCATCAAGCAAGGTGCATCTGTACAAGTTGCACTAGCAGAAGAAAAATATTGGAACAAATTATCTGGAACAGCCAAAGGGTCCAACTCCAACATACCTTTCGCAGTTCCATCAATTTCTCCACCCTCAAATCTGAATGCAGGGACATTGTGAGAGAACATAAAGAGTGTTTTTCTTGGGATATTAATGGATAACACATTCCCTCTCTCTAAGTACCTGCAGTAGACATTCTTATATCCAGCAACCTTGGCCAAGTATGCAGCAGTGACACCTAAATCTTCCAAATAATCAGTAATAATTTCCACCATTTGAAAGTCACAATTCTTTGTGACCAGAGGATTAGAGCAACAACCAATGGCCCAATCTCTGTAGAGCACCCAGACCTCACCCTTCCTAGGATAAATTTCAAATTGTTGTTTTGTTATACCATTTGATATTAGGTGAGATAACATAGCACGATTACTAAATGTGAATTTGTTGCACTCCAGCACAAGGGAACCACAAGCAATAGGCAAGACTGCAGCGAACCATTTATTTTCATCCTGGGACTCTGGGATGCAAGGTTTGAACCATGTAACATACAGATGAAACATGTCAGGCATCATCTTATCTATTTGAGCATATCTGCGTGGCATATTTTCTTGATTGTAGGCTACCCAAATCTGATAAGTGGAGAAGAAAGCTCAGCCTTTGCATTGTTCTCAAAGTTGTAAAAGTCAGGTTCAGGCCTCTTTCTTGATATGAACTGTGAAGAAGAAGAAGAATTTTCTTCTGGGCATTTCAGGTAGAGACCAATACCATCTTTGGAATTCTTTTGGGATGTGACACAGCTTTCTTCATTGGTCAATATCTTCTTCTGCTGCTGTTCAGCATTGTCCTCTGAAGCCTCACGAGTTGCCATTTCACTCAAATAAGGTATATCAAAATTACATCCTGCAGCAGCTCTTTCCACCACCACTGGATTGCCAACATCCACAGAGCAACCAACCTTAATCTTAGGGTATGATTGACATGGAACACCACCTAAACCACTTCGTTTAGAATCAAAAGCTGCTCGTTTAACTGGATCTAAGAACACATAAAAAGATTCCTTCACAAAATTTAGGGCCACCTCAGTACCTGGGAAGTCATTCTTGATTGAATTTAATTGCGATACAAGCATGGAATACTTAGCTTCTATGTCAGCAAGCTCAGCAGAAGGGCCGAGCTGTAAGATCATGTACCAATTCACAGATTGGCCAGGCGACGCACTTCAAAGAAGCGTTGCCTAGTCGCTCGCCTGAACCTAGGTGCCGGTCGCCTTGGGCGAGCGCCTAGTTGAAACAATGCAATGAACAACGATCACATCAATGCACATTTAAAATATAGTTTTCATCTATTGTTTACCAAGTAATCAAAGTATTCTATAACTGCACATTAAAAATGCAAATGTGTTCCCAAATGCAGCCTCAGAATGCTGGTAGTTTAGGGAAAAAACACATGGGAAGAGTTATTGTAGATAAGATAATGTCGAGGTTGGCATGGATGCATGAGATACAGTATAAAGTGACAAAGCATATTTATCTCATGGAAAGTATATAGTGATAGATAAGGGTTTCAAATTCTTATCACCCGTTGAACTGTATCCAAATATTTCATGCAACTACGCCATATTTCTCCCAAAAATAAAATAGATTAAAATTTGCTTAGCACATGAGCATCAATAAGTACAATGAAGATAGCAGGCACAAAAATTTTGATGATATGAGCTATACAAAAGCAAATGCAGCACACAAAATCTAAGACGATCAAAACTTGTTCTTGCTTTCCATGCACCGCAGACTTCTTTAAGAATAATCAAAATGAAAAGATGCTGTAACAAGTGATCACAGAAAAAATGAAACTTTATTGAAACAATGAAGAAAATCCTGTTGATGGGGATAATTCCAAGAAGAACGCGATCAATCACCAAAATTGTGAAGTTTTGTCTATACAATAAAGAAGGTCCTGTCAATGGAGACAATACCAAGAAGAACACAATCAATCAACATAAAAGCCGGATCTGGGGGCGTATAACTCATAATTCTGTATCCCAAAACGTGAAACTTTGTCGAAACAACGAAGAATATTCTGTCGATCGAGAAAATGCCAAAAGAACACGATCAATCACCAAAACGTTAACAAAAAAAAGCAGCATCTGTGGGCACATAACTCTATTGTTCCCCAAAAAATGAACCTTTTCAAAAAGCAGCATTTGGGGGCACATAATTCTAGTTGTGTAATCCAGAAAGTGAAACTTTGTCGAAACAAGAAAGAGCATCCTATCGATGGAGGCAATGCCAAGAAGAACATGATCGATCACCAAAAGCCAAACAAAAAAGCAGCATCTGGGGGCACGCAACTCTAATTCTATACCCCCCACCAAAAAGTGAACTTTGTGTAAACAATGAAGAAAATCCTATCGCTAGAGACAACGCCAAGAAGAACACGATCGATCACCAAAAAACAAACAAAAGAGCAGCATCTAGGGGCACATAACTCTAATTCTATACCCCCGTCGAAGCGAAACTTTGTCGAAACAATGAAGAAATCCTATCGATGTAGACAACGCCAAGAAGAACACGATCAATCACCAAAAAGCCAACAAAAAAGCGGCATCTGTGGGCACATACCTTGTTCCGTGCCCCCAAAAAAATGAAACATTTTCGAAACAATGAAGGAAACGCTTTCGATGGAGCCAATGACAAGAAGAACACAATCAATCACCAAAAAGCCAAACAAAAAAATATATATTTGGAGGCACATGACCCTAATTCTGTACTCCAAATAATGAACCTCGTCGAATGAATCAAGTATATTCTATCGACGGAGACAATGCCAAGAACACAATCAACCACCAAACGCCAAACAACAAAGCAGCATCTAGGGTCACATAACTCTTATTCTGTGGCCCTAAAGTGAAACTCTGTGTTAATGCCAAGAAGAACACGATCAATCAAGAAAAAGCCCAACAAAAATGCAACATCTTGGGGGCCACACAACTCCAATTCCGGAACAATCGAACGCAAAGAGAAGAGCTTGCTATCGGGAGCTAACCAAGATAACAGGGAGAGAACGACCGATGGAATCCCTAAAGCTTCCGATGGCTTCAACGAGGGAAGAGAGTAGAAAGCATGCTACAGTTGCGGAGGTAACTGAAGTCACGGAGTCGCCGTATTCTCCTTTTAGAAAGCATTAGCATTGTACATAGCGATTACTAATATTAGTTTCGAGAAAGAAATTTATTTTTCGTTATTTTTTATTTGGTTAATGTATGATTTACTTAAATTTTAATTAAATTTCATCACAGTTTGTTCAAAAATAAATTTTCAATTTAGATAGATCTAAAATACATGTATGATATGTATTGAACTTTGTGAAAACAATTAGACACAAAGTACCTATTAGCATCACAAGTATGGTTATTATCTCAAACAAATCATATATATATATATATATATATATATGACAAATATAAATATAACAGACACATATGATGTAAATAATAATTTTATTTTTTAAAAATTTTTAGATGATTTTAGCACTCAAAATATTATAAAAATCATGTAATAATCTTTAAATGTAAGAGCATATTTGTCCCTTTGTTATTTTAAGGCAACCTGATAAATAGGGGTTGCCCCTTTTCATTATTGACAATCTCTAAAAAATAATAATAATAATAATAAGATATAATTTTATTATTTATAATCCTTTAATTACCAATCATATTTTTATTCCTTCAATCCTTTATTTCAATTGTCAACAGTTCTGACGTCTCGTGACGTCATGCAGTTCTATCAGCCTTCATGCAGGTGCGCTTTGAGAAGCTCATCACCGCTATCGTCGATGAGTTCAGATTGCTTCGAGGCGTCTACCAAACCTGGCAATCACTCTGTCAACGATCCAACCTCTGCTCGAAGATGCAAGCGAAGGTCAAGGATGTGGCCGACGACATGGATGAATTGTTGGACGAGTGCACGACGACGAAGATCAAGTGGGAGGTGGAGAGCAGAGCTCGAAGATGCAACTGGAAGGTGTAGGTCAGTAGCTGCTTCTCCGATTCTTTTTGGCATAGGAGTTCCTATCACTACAACTTAGCACACAAACTCAAAGCAATCCGAGAAAGGTTTGATATGATCGCAAGGGAACGACACAATCTGGGCTTTCAAGTATTAGGACGTCGCTCGCCGTCCGTCCATCGTCGCTTGCCTCTCACCGCTGGACGCCACTGCGACGCTGGAGGCCGCTCGAAGAGAAGGGAAAAAGAGGACGAAATGGATATCTTCGGAACATTAATTTAAAAAATGATATTATAAATAATAATATTGCCAATAGAATTGTATATCAAAATCAATTTGGGTCGGATTGTGACTATTAACGGGATGGAGTCCGTGTGTTGTGGGCCGTTCGATCGGGACCAACGGACGGTCGTGATAAAAAAAAGGAGACGAACGATCTCTTCCTCCCGGCGGGGACGCGCACGGCCGGACGAGGTACCCGAGCGGCGGGTCCCAACCCGGTCGCCGAGATGTCAGGCATGAGCGGTGACGGCCGAGGTGTGCGTGGTGCCCCGTTGGTCCGCTTCGTACCGACGTAGGTGGCGTCGGGACCCTCGAGAGGACGGCATCTCTACTTTTTAGCTGCCGCCGCTGCTGTTTTGGCTTCGCCATGTCCTTCGCCGCTCAAATTGGCAGGTGCGGGTCGCCGTGTGCTCCTTCGCAATTGGTATCTCCCCCATTAATTGATGGCGAACCGCACTCCATCATGATGACAGTGGGGGCGTGCAGCGACCGTCGGTGGTTGACTGCACGCATCACCACCATCACTCCTCTTTCTCTCTCTCTCACATCAACAATAATATCAAGCTGGACATAGAATTTTCTATACGGATTGACGAATATAATGGATAGATTTGTAATCATTAGGTTATATTTAAATGTTTTTGTGACACATCATCAGCAATTTATATAGAGCTATACGGATTTACTATCATAAATTTGGATCTGTTATGTTAATGGAATAAATTTGAAACATTTTCCCAAGTGACAATAAAAGGAGTGTTTTTAGTAACAAAAACATTTAGTATAATAATTTTAATTATTATGTTATTTTACATTCAATTTACACAGGGAATGTCACGCTACCTCCCCCCTTCTGTCATGAAACATTTCATGCCATGTCATATTCCAATTTACTTCGAATTTAAAACTCATATATTAACCTAGATTTAATCTTTTTGGATCATATTATCTTAGATATATTAGGTTTATGACTCAGATTTAAGAACACAAAGAGAACAGCAAAAGAAAGGAGCTTTTTTGTTTTTTTACTTTGAAATAAATGAAATTATTTATTATGGGATATTTTTTTGAAAAATACCTCTTATTTTGATAACTTATAGTTAGCATCTCTTTTTTCAACAATTTTCATAAAATAATTTTTTCTAAAAGATGATTTTGTCATATGTCTCCACATTCATCGTTTTTGTCTCATCGTCTTACATCCCCCTCGTTTTCTTGGTAGAAAGAGTTATGAACGAGAGCAAAAATAAGAATGTGCTGACCCCCTCTGTTAACCCATATCTTTTATCGTCATTATTATTTTTATTATCAATTTTTAATAGAAAAAATAATAGACGAGGAGGACAAGGACAAAAGTAAAAGTACACGAGTGAAAATAATAATAATAATAAAAAAAAAAAAGACAAAAGATGATAATGTAATATAGAAGCGACGGTCGATCGGACATAAAAACAATAGATAGAAGCGTTTAGGAGTACACATAAACGTCCGGTAAAAACAAATACATTGATTAGCGAGGGCAATGTTAGACGACAAAAACATGAAAAAAATTTACTTCACAAAATTTTTTGAAAAAGAAAGCACTAATTAGAAATTTCTCAAATTAAAGGGTTTTTAAAAAAAATTATCCTTTATTATGTTAATGATTTTGTTTCTTTTATCTTTATATTCACCGAGTAGTCTGACCGTGGGTGACCACCTTACACCTAACTCCCAACCCACAAGACCAGGTACTCTCACCGGTTGGTGAGCAGCTTCCACCCGACATATAATTATCCCGTAATCCACCTTCAAACCTTTCACGAACTAATAATAATGATATTATTTTCTCGCAACATCGCAAAAACAAATCCCTCGTTTTTCCGTTCTTTCCCCAAAAAAAAAATCTGACCTTTTTTCCTATTCCTTCTCAACCCCCCGGCATCTTCTTTTCATCTCCTTCCCCAGATCCGTTCGATCGAGTTAGTTTCGCTTCTTAATCTCCTCTGCGCTCGCCCATTCCCCAAGATCCCTACCATTCTCTTCCAATTTACAGGATCTCGGTAGCTCGAAGCGGAGATACTGGTCTTGTGGAGGCCGGGGGAATCAGGTGGCGGAGTTGCGACCTTCGGATTCGACGGAGAAGGCTTCCTGCGGTGCTCGGAGTTGTGTTTTCTCATCGGGTCCCGGAAAAGAGAGTCTTTTTGTAACCGGAAGGAATGCGCTCTTGTCGTGCGAGCTCGATCGCGTTTGGTCCCACAGGTTCTGAGAGAATCGTGGGTCGATTGGAGCAGGAGCGTCGACGTTGATGAGGATCTGGTGCTGCGAGGAGGGAGCGATCACAACTTCGCCATGGTTTTCACCAGGCTCGATGACTCTCCGATGTTTCGTAAGCAGGTGCGGGCTCTTCAACTAATCGGGCCTTAATTTTTGTGGTGTTTGATGTACAAAAAGTTGTTCGTTTCACTCTTTAAGGAAATGCTTCTTCTTTGTTCAGTAGTATTCCAGAGTTCATTGGCATTTTGAGCTGGATTTATGTGCACTGAGCAGTTGGTCTTGTTGTTGCCAGTGTTAAATTAGCAGCTTCTAGAAAATTTTGGGTTAGATTAGATGATTGCTACTTAGGTCACATGTAGATGTGTTTTTAGTAATTTTACGATCTATCATGTATTATTGACCCAGAGATAAGCCGATTAAATGCAAATCGTTCTATGGGAATCAATGTTGGTGCGGATAACATTTGTGTCCTTTCTGGAGCATTTGGCTGTGGTGCCATCCACCATAGAAGTACTGTTGTGTTTGGGGTTCATCATGTTTATTATTGATAATCAGGGAAAATAGAATGTATCTATTAAAAAGTACATCAATTTTTATACTGTACATCCATATTCTGCCTTTATTCCATTTGTATATGTTAAAATTCTTGAGTTTAGCGTTGACCAAAGTATTTTCAAGTGTTAATCATGTAGTGGGCCTGTGTCATGTCCTCTGATGCATCTAGATTTAGATTAAGTTTTATCTCAAGTCTTATTTCAGTCTAATGTCATAGAGTTGGAATTTGGATATTTCAAAAGTTTATCATGTGTTCAATTAGCAGAAATTTTAATGCTTTAAACAAAATTAATAATGAATTGATTCTGGGTTTTACTGGCATAATGTTCCTGATCTTATTCTTGATCAGCAGTCCTTTATACATGAGCAAAAAGTGTCAGAGAGGTCTTGAGAGGATAATATGAGGCCAATGTAGAATCAGACAAGTCCATTTTAGTCACAACATTTCCTATTTTATCTTGTGTTAAGTCCTAGATCAAGTTATAAGCCGGTTTATGGAGGTCTGGTCTTATGGTTGTGACATGGCCTGTAAAGATTGGAAGTTCTTGATTGGCTTTATCCCTTGTATTCTTTCCTTGATTCTCAAATTTATTATCAATGCTCTCTGCTAGATTCAATAATTTTCATCACATTCTGTTGTAAGAAACTGATTCTCTTTGTTAGTTTGCACCTGCGCCTGTTTTTTGTAGCCCTTTATAGCTGATTCTGCTATATTCCTGATAATCGATTGAGAAAGTAAGAAACCAACTATCAGTGCTAGGAACACTAAACAGAGAGATGGAAGTTACATGTTTTTTTTGGAGCAAAAAATTAAATTGATGCTTTAGTATTTTCCGCTTCAGTTGACTTGGCTCATTTCTCTTTCATTTGTTTGTTTGTCTTCCCTTTTTCCTGAAGGGGTCAGTCATTTTTGGTTAATCCCTCTTGTACCTGTTAAGCCGCCTTATTTTTTAGAAATTACTAGAACATGTAAAAATAAATGTGCTATGGAGACATACTTTTTTACTTCTTATCCAAATTGAGCAAAATGCATGGTCTGTCTAAAGAAATATTGCA